TGTGTTCACTCCCAGGGGAACTACTTCGAGGGTGATGGATGAATTTAATACCTGAGATAAGTGTACGGGTTTTTATAGGCGCAGTCTGGAAACTTTCCGATCGCACCTCGTATAATTCTGTTCCACAACACTGACACACTCGGATTGGTATATTTTGCCTATTTTTGCGCTATAATGAAGTATGGATTAATTTTTGGGGGTAATTCATCAAACAGTATAAAGATATTCACTTTACAAAAGAAAATTATTAGATTATTCGCTGGTGTAAAACCTAGAAATTCATGTAGAAGTCTTTTTAAGAGATTAATATGTATTGTATTATTATTGTTATTATGACTTTTTCCACATCCTATTGTCATCTGACTATCTTATGGACCCATGGAATGTAATAAAATATGCATGTATGTTCTGCCGTCTGTTAGAAGTTTGTCTCCACAGTTTTACATTTTACTCCGCTGAATGCAGACTCGTTCGCTTCCAGATCGGAAGTTCAATGAAGAGCGTGGGTGAAGTGATGGCGATCGGAAGGAAGTTCGAAGAGGCTTTCCAGAAAGCGCTGCGTATGATGGACGAGAACGCGTTAGGATTTGACCCCTACGTGAAGGCGCTCTCTGACGAAGAACTGGAAACTCCGACAGACAAGCGCATGTTTGTGTTGGCTGCTGCGCTGAAAGCTGGATACAGCATTGATCGCCTTTGCGATCTGACCAAGATAGACAGATGGTTCCTGCAGAAGATGAAGAACATTGTGGATTACCAAGTGATGATGGAGTCACTGGGCCAGCCCCAGCTGTCGCAGGAGCTCCTCCTTAAGGCCAAGCAGTACGGCTTTTCCGACAAACAGATCGCGACATTTGTCAAGAGCACGGAGCTATCTATCAGGAAGAAGCGTTTGGAAATGGGTGAGGATTGCACTCCTGCTGTGTTTTTCCATAAATGACTGATCAAACTGCGAGACCATTTGTATGTGGCGGAGTTTAAAAGTCGATGACGTTCTCCCCATGTAAGATTACCTGTAACTGTGATGGGATTTTGTGCATGCACTTTCCTTCCATTGCTAGCGGCCACACTATTGCTGGAAATATTTTAACAGACCTTTTTCTGTGACTTCCATAAGTATGTCTGTCGTAACTTATTTCACCTTATCTGCTGACTGAAGCCTTTGTCTCCTTTTAGAGAGCTTTCATTTTCGTAACAAGTAGCAATTGGCAGGGGCTAGATGTGGGGTGTGGTAGAATTACATTTGTTTCTTTCTTGGACAGATTCTCCTCTACTAACAGGACCGATGTGTGCGTTGATTGTCGCTGTGGCAGTCAGTGTTGAAACCTGCATCTTCTCTGCTTACTCATGCATGCTCAGACTGATGACTAACACAGTCATTAAATGAACTTTCTGACTACCGTACACAGCAGGTCACGTATCGTACGATGAAAGAAACACATTTCTGTCATAAGCAATGAATATATTCCTGACACCTATTTTTGGCCGTTGAAAAATGTTGATGTAATGTGTTTTAAAGGAATTACTCCGTACGTGAAGCAGATCGACACGGTGGCGGCAGAATGGCCGGCAACAACCAATTACTTGTATCTGACATACAATGGTTCAGCTCACGACTTGACGTTCCCTGGTGGACACACGATGGTCATAGGTGAGTGTCAAAGCAAATGCCGCAAAGGGGTCGCTCCTCAGCATGTTTTATTGATAAACGGTAAATTTGTAAGACTTGCGTTGGTTTTCGGCTGGATCGCGGTGAATGTTCGACTTCTGCTTGTGGGGTGCAGCTGTGTCGTGCGTTGGACACGTTCCTTTTCATTCTTTGTTTTATTTATTTTCAATTACAGTTTTGTATGTTTCTGTCTCTTGTGTTGTAACTGTAAAAACTAATCCGTACTACCAGACGATAGATTTGCTGCAATGTTTTCTGTATGTTGCTTAGGTTCAGGAGTGTACCGTATCGGCAGCTCGGTTGAATTTGATTGGTGCGCTGTTGGATGCCTTCGAGAGCTGCGTAAGCTGGGCAAGAAAACTGTCATGGTGAACTACAATCCAGAAACTGTCAGCACGGATTACGACATGTGTGACCGATTGTATTTTGAAGAGATTTCATTTGAGGTATTCTATACGTAGCAATTACGGCTCCCATTATTAATCGTTGAAGATGCACAGCCATGTACCGTTAGTGTCTCAGCTTCATAATGTAAAATCTAGCTTGAAATATGTTCACTGATGCGTTAATATTAATCTTTTTAGCGTTTCCGAGTTTCAACACGGTCTCGTGGATTCTGCGTAGGTAAGCCGCGTCCTGAACGTTTAAATGGTTGGAGATTTAGTATGTTTCTTGCGTCATGACACAATCTGCAGAAGTAAGTCAGTCCAGTGGCTGTGTGTCAGTGTTTGTGTTTATATGTTTTGCTTTCATGGAAACGTGTGAACCTGAAGAAGTCTTCATTGTCTCACGTGTCAGGGTACTTCTTCCTGCTGTGTCTGTGTTGTCAGCTTGTGCCGTAATGTTGCGTTCTTCAGGTGGTGATGGACATATACTGTGTTGAGAATCCTGAGGGAATAATCTTATGCATGGGGGGCCAGTTACCCAATAACATTGCCATGGACCTGCATCGCCAGCAAGCTCGTATCCTGGGCACATCTCCCGAGTCTGTTGATGGAGCCGAGAACAGATTTAAATTCTCCCGTATGTTGGATCGCATCGGAATCTCTCAACCAAGGTAATGTAATTTGCATATGAGGCGGTTGTTTTACATCACTGTGTTAACCTGCTCGGTATTTAACTTTTGTCAAGTAATTCTTGTATTATTTCACGATGCAGTAGTCGATAATTCCTCAAATAAAATTTTAGGGTTTAGTATGAATTTTTCTATTCATCCAGTCACTGTGTTTTACATTACGCAGAGAATTTCTTCGTCGAAGATGCGTATTTATCGAACATCTAGTACTTTACATCGTTGTATGGCCCTATTGTAAGTGGTGCTACTGTCACTCTCACTTCACGGGTTTGTTCTCCGCCATATTGATATTACCAATTGATGGAAAATAAATAAATGTGGTTTTAGGCTAGACTCAAACGGGATACTGTTTATACCAAATTTCACTCAAATCTGGGAAGTACTTCTCGAGTTAAGTAGACAGACGTTAATATCGAGGAATGAACCGACAATCTTTGCACTGTATATTCAAGTCTTCACTCTGGTAAGATTTAGACTCTAGGAATGTGGGGGGGGGGGGGGGGGGGGGGGGGGGGAAATCACTGCAATCACAAATGTCATCAAGACCTACTGCAGTACAACTGTGTGTTGGTATAAGTTTGTTAATAGCTTACATGTTTTGATGTGAATATGTTACTCAAAAGGACATGACACCAAATGGTTCTTAGCTACAATAAAAGGCAACTTACCTCTGTTTTTATACAACAATTATATCCATAATTTAAAAAAAAGTATCCTGTATCATAGAAGTGATTAAAAGAACAGTTTAATAAAACAGTAAAAATCACTGGGATTCAACTCTGAGAACAGTTTCTTATGTGTAATATTTAAATATTAACCAGATAACTGTAGTCCCAAGAAGTGGCAGGTGAGGGCCAACATGACTCCCCATATTGCAACCATCATAGTCACAAGTAAGGATGCAGCCTGTCATTGTATAGTCCTGATAGCGAAACACTCCACATTGGGTGTCCATTGTCTTCATGACACAGGCACGAATCACCATCAGTTCCCACGTGTCCACTGTAATGTAGTCAAGATACAGTAGAACCTAGATGAAATTTAGCTGAACAAAATGCATCCATGGCATGAGAGCTGCTCGACTGTTATACCGGAAAGACTCACTCAAATAAATATTATTATATCATTATTGGCTATAGTTCTGAAAAACTACTATTTTACTCTTTGTCAGCAGTTAAATCATTTAATCTTAGTCCTGTCTCCATTTTTGGATGAGAACATTGTGTCATATTGGACTGCTTGGGTAACGCTTCAGAGAATGTGACTCTCCTTTGAGGCAAACTGACTAAACAGTGGCCTAATGTCAATATTTATAGTTCCTTGCTACAGAATAGTGGAAAAACCACCACAACACTGCTAAGTCCACCCAACAATGGTAAAAAAATTAGGTACAAACCATTGTGAAAGCCTGAAGACTTGTCCTCATTAGACATTAAAGGGTTAACTTACCATTCGCTGGAATAGCTCCTACTCATTCTTAACCTTGACACTAGATAGGGGTGAGTGGTCAGCATCGCGCTCGACTGCACTTGACCCCCGGGAAAGGACCCCGGTACCCATTAGATGGGAGGCTGGGTGGGCCCCATTACCGGCCTGGACGAAGAGGCTAGAGGAAACATCCTCACCCTCGTTTGGGGATCGAACCCTGGTCGTCCAGTCCTTAGCCAGTCACTATACTGACTGAGCTACACCGGCTCGTGTTAGGTTTAAACAGTCGTCGTTTAGTTTGCATGAATTTTGTTTTGGTCTTGGTTAACGTTGACTGATGTGTTCACACAGGTGGAAGGAACTTACAAACCTCAAGTCGGCGATCGAGTTCTGCGAAGAAGTCGGTTATCCGTGCCTCGTGCGGCCATCGTACGTGCTGAGTGGAGCTGCGATGAATGTCGCTCATACTCCACAAGACTTGGAGACTTATCTCAAGTCGGCAAGTGACGTCAGCAAGGAGCATCCGGTTGTTATTTCCAAGTTCCTTCTGGAAGCCAAAGAGATTGATGTCGACGCTGTTGCTTATGACGGAATTATTCTCTGCCTCGCTGTCTGTGAACATGTCGAGAACGCTGGAGTGCATTCTGGAGATGCAACCCTTGTCACGCCCCCTCAAGACATCAACCCTCAGACCCTGCAGAAGATTATGGCAATTTCAAGAGCGGTGGCCGGAGCCTTAGAAGTAACCGGGCCCTTTAATATGCAGCTGATAGCTAAGGTACAGTACTTCATGTTCTTCTGCTTCAAGGATATGAAATGGTTCATTCTGCTAGTTGGTGCGGTTTGTTGAAATGTCGTCGTAGCTTCTTACGTTCGGCCAGTGTCGCGTAAGTGGTAACAACTGTACTGACTTTGGGAAGTATTGACGGGTAGCAAATTTTTACTGGTGTGTAAGACTTGAAGTGGGAGTGGCAGTATAATATTAAAATTAACAACCAGGAAGAAATTGAAAGCACTTAAAATTTTTGGGAACGTAATTCCATATGACAGCGACCCTCTTGTAGTGGACGATAAACTTCATGAAAATGTGCCCACATGAAGTTTAATTTTTACTAATGTGATAATTTTGCTGGTCAGTTCAGTGTTCTTTTAACGTCTTACCTCCTTTGTGAATGTCTATAAATTATTAAATACAAAACTATAATTTCACGCGCATCTGAAACTTGGCCGCTTGTCCCGAGGGAAGAACAGAATGCAGAGAGCCGTATTTTGACCTAAGAGGTGGGAAGTAGTAGGAAGATTGAGAAAAGTGCATAATACAGAACTCCATAATTTGTATTGTTCATCAAATAGTTTTAGAATGTCAAAATCATGGAAGATGAGCAGGACATGAAGCATGCATAGGGCTGTAAGTTTCTTGACATTGCATCCATGATGGAGCAAGAGTTATCTTTATTTTTAAGGAAACGGTTGATTTGATGTAAGAGCATTCATTGAAGTTATCTTTATTTTTAAGGTTGATTTGATGTAAGAGCATTCATTGTACATAAATTCAGGTGTCTGAAAAATATGTACGTGAATCAGCATCTTTGGTGGCCACTTGCCGTTCATTTGCTCATTGAAGTCATCTGTGCCATGAGATTAATGATTGCCATTTTGAACACCTGCACAAGGTTTGCTAATTCACTGAGCGCCAATACCGATGTATGTAATGTTTTAGTTTATTGAAATGCCTTTATTTAATTCATTGAATGCGTGTATACATATTTTTGGGACAGCCTGTATAATTGATGCATGAATGTAAGGTGCACCATAAACCTAACCTCTACCTTTTTTTTGTTACAGGACAACGAACTGAAAGTTATAGAATGCAATGTCAGAGTTTCTCGCTCATTCCCTTTCGTTTCGAAAACGCTTGATTTTGATTTTGTGGCCATGGCAACGCGTGTGATTGTTGGAGAGAAGGTGGAGCCAGTCGACGTCCTTGCGGGATGCGGGAAGGTCGGAGTGAAGGTGCCGCAGTTCTCGTTTTCACGACTCGCAGGTATGAGCCGCTTCACTCAAATCATGTCGTCGTTTGCGCGCCTTTTCGAAAGATCAGGTCTATTTTGGAAGATGTCTGTTACACACTCCGTCTTTCTTACCTTCACCCGCCCCCCCTGATTTTTTTAAAATTTTATATCTCACGTAAACCGCTCCAGCCTTTCCATTTTCTCATTTCTTTCCCTGTTCTCTTTGTTTCCAGCTAGCTTTTACTCCAACTTTTTCATCATTTTGTCGAGCAAATGATTTCCAGGTCTTTCCAAAGCAGATACAGTGAAACCTCGATGCATCGTTTTCGGCGGGGGTGGGAAATAAAAACGATGAATGCGGGAAAGTATTAAAAATTTAAAAAAAA